TGGATGGGCAGAGGGGCTGTGCCAGTGCTCCAGGGAGCCAGGAATGGCCCTGGCTGTCTAGACTTTTGGATGGAGGAGTTCTGCTGGGAGGATGTGGGTGATGGTGAAGGCAGCACCTTGTCCCGGGCAGGTTGTGTGGGTGAGTGCGTTCAGTATGTCTGTCTGTTTCTCTGTTTGTCTGTGTGTCCTGGTTTGAAAAGGAAGTGAGTTTTTGGGAGGCTGTGGTCAAACCAATGGGTGCTCAGATTTCAATATTGGCAATATTTGAATGTGTCGACACCAAGGACATGGCAATGCCTCTGAGATCACAGGGGCTTAAAAGCAGAGAACTCCCAGGAGAACTCTCTTGGTTCTGGTCCGTGACAAAGGTCAGACCTGCCCAGCTGCAGGTTGGGTGGGGGAAGGGAAGCCATGTGGCCTGGGTGAGGTAGGCCGGAGACTTGGACAGAGAAGGGAGATGAAGGCGCCTGCAGAATGGAAGGGTGGAGGAACAGTGAGAGGTATCGGGCAGCCCCCTCCCATGAAAGAGAGAGAGAGAGAGAGAGCCTGTGACTGTGCCACCTTGAAATTCATTATCATGTGCTGTCATCATGGCCAGCCAAGAAGGAGAAGAGGGGTGCAGCGAGAAGGTGCCCAGCAGGGCCGTTGTGGGAGTTCTGGGCAGGCAGAGCCTGAGATTGTAACCCTTTTCTTGGATGATGGAAACCTTGAAAATACTGATCCTCCTGGATCTGAATGAGATGAGAGATAGCAATGAAATAGGAGAAAATGGACAAGAGTGATGAAAGTCCGGGCAAGTGAAAGATGTCAGAAGAAGTTGAGAAGAATCTTAGGCAGGAGGAAATGATGGAGTGGCCTTTCTCTGAACTTTTCTTGTATAGCCATGGAGAGAATCAGTTGTTTGGTTTTTTTCTGTAACACAGAGACTGCATTTGGGGGAGGCAATGGCTTGGAGCCTAGAGAGTGCAGTGATGTTATGTGAAGGAGTGGGGAGAACAGAGACGCTGGGTGAGGAGGGTGCTGGTGCCCTCGATCTTCAGTCAGTGAAGATCTCTGTTCTCAAGACCCCTCGGCCCCAGGGGGTGAATTTGGGGGAGACTGGTGTCCAGAAAGAGAAAGAGTGTTGCTTTTTTGGAACTAGGAAAAGCATCCTTAAAAGGGGAAACCTAGAAGCAGCCCTGGTCCATGCGCAGTGGCGAGAGCACTGGACATGGAAGGAAGAGGTCACAGTGGCAAATGTTCTCCAGGCGGTGCCACGTGTGACATGGAAACATGAAAAGTTTCAACTGTGTTTGCTGGGGAGGCCTATGGTACAAGAGGGACTCCTCTCTCCTTGATGAACTGAGAGTTGATTATCTGAGGCGTAGTGATGAACTAAGAGTTGGTTAACTGAGGCGTGGTCACTGGATTGAGAAGCTAAGGTTTTATTTTGTGCCATGGTGGAAACTGGGGGAAGGAGGAGGAATATTTTCAGAAGGTTTTCATTCTGAGTTCTGTGTCTTTCTTTTTCATATTGTGTGTTAATAATGTTCTTTCCTTTATTTCTAAGTTTGAGCCTTCTTTGCACTATTTCTGGTCACATCTCACAGCAGACACTAGGGAGAATATATTTTCATGAGGCACTGGAATTGTGCCAGCATCAAACCATGACAGTCTCTTTCTCTGTGTGTGTCTCTATGTCTGTGTTTGTGTCTCTGGGATACAGACACCTTCAGGGTTGATCCAGCAAATGGGAAAGCAACAGGCACACCCAGGGAGCTAGGAAGGAGACCCTGGCTCTTTTGACATCCCAGGCCTGTCTCCAGCAGCCCCAGGGCTGCAGCTGCTGCAGAGCCTCTGCCAGGAGCCCAGGACCTCTGACAACACCTTAGGAAAAGTTCCTGTTCTTCCTTGTGAGAAACAACCACCCACATTTAAAATTTTTAAAAGGTTTGTAAAACCTTAACAAAAATTACAACCAAAGGAGTAAATAAGAAAAACACATGTGGGCGCTTCCCTCATGGCTGACTACCAAGTGGCTGCCTCATCTTCAAGATGGAAGTTTTGCCTTTTATACCCTGTGATGGAGGGGTTTGCATCAGCCAACCATGGCACCTTCTAAAAGTCTGTCAGTCAACTCTTGTTCACAGTTTATTGGTGGAGTGTGCTTTCTTGCAGACAAGTTTTTGTACACACCTTCTTTCTACCTGTCCTTGAGGACTCAGACTATCTGATGGTAACAATATGGGGTGGGTGGTGAGAGCTGATGGTAACAATATTGGGGAGGAACTATGGAGAGAACAGAGGACACCCAAAGAACAGACTACAGGAACTTAATCATACATTAGTGGAGCTTCTCTTAATATTCACACAGTATTCATCCCTTGATTGCAACAGCCAATCATCTCATTATCAATCTATAACATTGCTCCACAGCCATGGCTTTGCAGGAGGACACACAGGAGTGGGATGCAAAGGCACAGCTCCTGGCAGAGGCACTCCACAAGGAAGGACTGGATGCTGGATACTGGCTGCCCAAAGTGACACAGATCCTGGGAATCAAGTGCAGAGAAGCCCTGCAACATCTAGAATATGAAGACTACCTCAAGCTGGAGTGTGAGGCACAGCATCCCTGGGAGAAAAAGGCACTCCAGAAACTCTTGAACATAGCAGATGACAAAATGACCACTAAAGAGGTGCAGAACGAGATCTTGGAGAAGACAAAGCAAAGACAAGAAGAGGCCAAACAAGCCCTGAAGAATCTGACAGAAATGCTCAAGTGTCGCAGCCACAGACAGGATGTTCTGAGGGAGAAAGCAGAGACTCTGTGGCAAGCCATGGAGATTCCCAAAGAGTTCTGGCCACTGCCAAAGAAACCCTTGGCAGATGTGCTGGAGAGCATCCAGAAGCAGCTGGAGCAGCAGGAGCTGTCAGCAGGCAGTGGGAAGAACATCCCTGACACGGAGGTGCTGAGGCGGGCGTCAGGGGGACTGGCCCTGCAGGGCATCTACAGAACCAGCAGACCTGAAGATGTGCTGGCAAAGCGAGAGCAGCTCCTCAGGGTTCCTGAGGGGTTCCAGCTCGCCGGTCCAGTGCAAAGATCACTGCTTGAGAGGAAGGAGTTCTCCTCCTCTGCAGCAGAATCCACTTTCACCAAGTCCATGGAGCAGCTGGGGTTCAGCCTGAGTGTTTCTGCCAAAGCCTCATTCTGGGGGATTAATCTGGGAGGGAGTGTAGATCACAGCAGCTCCTCGCAGTCACAGGACACCCACCAGTCCCACTCTGAGCAGAGCTACTTTTGCACCACCAAGTACCTGTACATCCCTCTGGCCTCCTGCTACTTCCAAAGGCATCAGCTTCGCCTCTCGGATGCAGCTCTACGGCACCTCCAAGACATGGAGAAGCAGCTTTTGAGCTTCAGTCGGGAAGAAGACAACCCCATCTTAGTGAAGATGTGTGAGAGCTTCTTCAGCATGTTTGGGACCCATGTAAACCAGGGACCCCTCCACTTTGGGGGAATATTCTGGTGGAAGGCATCTACAGAAGGATTCCAAGCCGAGCAGCGGGAAGAGATGAAGCGACAAACGTCTGAAGCATTGAACAGTTTTGTCAGGAAGAGCTATGGTGACTTCCTGGCTAGTGTTGCAGGTGCCCTGGATGTTTCCAAATCCAGCTCAAAGGCATCTGTCTCGGGTAGAGCCAGACAGAGATCTCATACAGAAATTCAACTCTACGTGATCAACACAGGGGGTCCAGCAGACACAGCTTCCCTTCCTCAGTGGAAAACGGGGCTCGTGTCTGATAACACAACATGGTGCGTTATCGACCGTGGCTTTCAGCTGATCCCAGTGTGGGACGTCATCCTGTGCAATCACTGTGAGGATTTTAAGTCTGTTGGTCAGATGAGCAGAACCCTCAGGGCTGGGTACAAAGCGCTGACGAATCAGAGCATTGGCACTGTTTTTGGGGAGGAACTGGGCAGTGCAGTGCAAGAGGCCAGAGATTTCATGGGGACTGTGAAGGCCTGGGAGGCGACAAAAGTTGATGAAAACAAGCTGCTCATGCTGATGGATCTTAAAGATGATCTGAGTGCAAAAACCAGGAACCCCAGTGTATGGATCAACGTGTGCTTGTCAGACAAAGCCCTGCAGGACTTCCTGGTGAACACTGTGCGGAGCTGCCAAGAGTCACGTCATGAAAACACCACCTCTATCAAGGTAAGGTTGAGGAATCTCCTGAATCCTCATATCTACTCTGTCAAGGACTTCCCTGAGGCTTCCTTCATTATGCAATGGGTCTTCCAGACTGAACACCCACTTCCCAGATCTCCCAAAGTCTCTGAGCTTCAAGAGCTCATCAAAACACTGCAGCAAATGAAAGAGCACATCCATGCTGTCACCTACGCACCAGGAAGCTCTGCTTCTGATGTTCATGAAGCAAAGATAAAAGCCACCCAGACCAGCAGCCAGGCCATTTATTCCTTACTCCAGTCTCTCCAGGAACAGGCTCAGAAGGACCTGGAGCTGTTGGTGCTCTTGATTGTGACCAGCACGGGGTACCAGGTGGAAAGCAGCACTTTTCAGCACCTTCTTGGACACCCAGAAATTCACTACATGGTCAAGGAAATGGAAGCGGCACATGCAGAGTACATGAACCTGAAGGAGCAAGATGCCGACAGAGCTGAGGCCTTCATCCTGCTGACGGGTCTGACTGTGACACCTGAAAGTCAAAAGCTGTCCCCTGAGCAGAAGAGGGAGCGTTTGGTTTTCATGGAAGATCACATGAAAGGCTTGTGGTCCACACAGATAAGGAATCTCCTCCAAAAGCACAGAGGAGACGAAGACTGGGAGAGGCTGGAATGGGACTTGGACTCTTTGATCAGTGGTGGCTTGGATGACAAATGGGATGAACAGAGGATGCAAAATATTCTCAGAGACCTGGAATGCACTTTTTCAAAACCAGAGCCCCCCAGTCAATCCCAATCCAAGTCAGACAGCAGCAAATCCAATGAAAATGAAGCCATTGCAAACCAGGAGTTCCTCCAGCTGCTCAAGCGCCTTGGACTGGAAAGTCACTATCCCAGGAAAATGGGGATGGGAGATTTTCACATCATCTGCAAGACGTCTCTGCAGGACAGCCAGCCCAGCCAGGACAAGGAGCTGCCATTATACTTCTTGCAAAAGCTGTTGACTGTGGATTACCAGGTGAGGTACCTGACTTGCTGGGACCAGAGTAACACAGGCCTTGCACCTGTGCCACAAACCAGAGACCAAGAACACCAACAATCAGACACCTTTGAACAGTTTTTTGATGATTTGATGGAAGCCTCCCCTGAACCTGCAAAAAGGGGCAGCCATGTGCACCCCATGGACCTGCAGATGGCCATTTTCCATTGTGCTGATGACTTCCTGAGACAGACCCTGGCAACCAAGCTGGCGTTCTGCCAACTGGCGCTGCCTCTGCTGGTGCCCAACCCGAGCACTTCACACATTGAGTTCCCGCTCTACTCCCTCAGCCAAATCCAAAGGAGCTGGAAAGAGGTGGACAAGTCAGGAAAGCAGGCCCAAACAAAGAGTTACAATAACAAACTCATCTTTCAGACACAGACACCCATTGTGTCCTTCATCCGCATTGGCAGCTCGGCCTCCTCTTCCAAGTCCCAGCTCCTGAATGCTCTGCTCAGCAAACGCAAACACGACACTTTCTTCCACCGCCACTGCAGAGGCAGCACCAGAGAGCGTTTGCTGATGGAAGGGCTGGTGGAGATCGCCTGGTACTGCCCTGGTGGAAGCCCAGATGACACCTTTGAGCGCTGCGTGGCTTTCTGTAACCTGCATGGAGACGCCAGGGATCACGGAGCACAGCTGCAGTTCCTGCAGGAGATATCTGCTGTCAACGTGGCTCTTGTATCTGAGTTGGAGCACATGGACAACAGGGGGAAAAAGCTTCTGCAGGACCTGTGGCAGTCACAAAGGCCTTTGATTTGTCTTCTCACGGAAAAAGAGAACATTGCAGCTGGACAAGCCAGCAAAACCATAAAAATAGGGATCAAGAACAGAAATGAAGCAGAACTGATGGAGGAGCTGACCAAGACAATTGTGCATCTCCTGGAAGGGTCTAATCCATGTTTCAGCCTGGAGGCCTGCGCGGACAAAGCTCGCCAGCACGGATTCATAGTGGATGCAGATCGAGCTGCGTGTGTGACAGCCAAAGCAAAGGCAAAGGAGCTGGTGGAGCTTCTGAAGAAACAGAAGCTGTCTGCGATCAAATCCCAGCTGCTGCCACTTCAAGGAAAACTGTGGGACCAATGGTGCCAAAAGGACAAAGAACTCACTCGCTTGCAGGAGAAGGGGAACAAGAGCATTGAGCATCATCGGAGCCAAATTGAATATGAGAAGAAAGCAATAAGAAGAAAACAACTTGACAAAGCTTTCCCTCTCAACACACTGATGGAACAATTTCTTAGCTTTCTCCACGCTCAGCCAGCAGATACCAAGAAATACTTCCTGCAGTGGATGAAGGTCTTTATGGATGAGATGTCCTATGCTTGCCTTGAAGAACTGAGGACTTTTTATCACAAGTTATGGTCTAAACTCCTGACAGAAAAGAAAAAACAGGGAAAAAAAAGTCTGGACACTGATTTGCTCAATTCTGTCTCTGATGAACTCAACTATTCATCCATTGGCCTGGAGCACCTTCTGAGAGAGGTAGGGCAGATTTATGAAGCTCTGCAATTAATGCACTGCAAGAATGACAGTTTTTGCAAATTGCCAGAAATTGCAGCAGAGCTGATGGTTTCAGGGTACCCCGTGGAGCTGATGGATGGGGACGCTTCTTACCTGCCCTTGTGCTGGGTGGGAGCAATCTTTGACAGCTTAATTGAGAGGCTGGGGGACAAACGAGTGTTTGTGCTCTCCGTGCTCGGCATCCAGAGCACGGGCAAGTCCACCCTGCTGAATGCCATGTTTGGTCTGCAGTTCAACGTCAGCGCAGGCAGATGCACCCGCGGAGCCTTCATGCAGCTCATCCCAGTGGGCGAGGAGCTGCAGCAAGACTTGGGCTTTGATTTTGTGCTGGTGGTTGACACAGAGGGACTCCGTGCCATGAAGATGGCCAATAAACAGTCCCTGAACCACGACAACAAGCTGGCCACCTTTGTCATTGGTGTTGGCAACATGACTGTGATCAATATCTTTGGAGAAAATCCGTCAGAAATGCAAGATGTTCTCCAGATCGCTGTGCAGGCTTTCCTGAGGATGAAGAAAGTCAATCTTTCCCCAAGCTGCCTCTTTGTCCACCAAAACGTGGGAGAAGCAACTGCCAAGGAGCAGAACATGGAAGGACGAAGGTGTTTGCAGGAAACACTTGATCAAATGACCGTGGTAGCTGCTCAGCAAGAATTCAGTGACATCTCTTCTTTCAGTGATGTCATTGGCTTTGATGTGAACACCCACATTCACTACTTTGCTCATCTGTGGGAAGGAAATCCCCCAATGGCACCACCCAACCCCAAATACAGCCAGAACGTCCAACAACTCAAGAGCAAAATCCTCCAGGCTGCCAAGAGGCAGTCACAGCACAGCATTTTGAGGCTCTCAAGCCTGAAAGATCGTGTTGGTGACCTCTGGAATGCTTTGCGGAATGAAAACTTTGTGTTCAGCTTCAAGAATTCCCTGGAGATTGCTGTATACAGGAGACTGGAAAGTGCCTTTAGTCAGTGGAGCTGGAGGCTGAGGAGTCACATCTTAGATGTACAGATGAGACTGGACAACAAAATTCGGAATGGGGACTTGCAGAATGTCACCAGACAGCACCTTGAAGGGCTGGTGCAAGAGACAAGTGATGCCATTGAGAAAGAAGTGGAAACGTATTTCAGGGAAGACAAAGACCATGAGACACTGGTCCAGTGGAAATCAAGCACAAAGCTGAAGCTGAAAGAACTCAAAGAGACTCTTCTTCATGAAACAAAAAAGAAATGTGAGAATCTTATTGAGCTACAGAACGAGCAGAGGAAACTGGATGCAAGGAAGTTGGACTATGAAGATGAGCTCCTGAGAAGGAGTCAGGAGCTGGCTGTGACTCTGAAAGGGCAGAGCCTCAGTGAGAGAGAACTGAAGGACAACTTTACTCGTGTCTGGAATAAGTGGATTACCGAAGTCTCCCGTGCTGCTCCTCCTCCAGAACAGGTGAATATTGATGTGGAAATTCAAGATGTCCTTCTAGAGCACTTTAATGAGCCAGGTTTCCATGAATACATCACATCATTTTCCAGAGGGAGAGTGTTTTCTTTTGATCCAGAGAAACACATCATGAAGAAAAAGTACTTACACTATATCTCAGATCCCAGGAGCTTTTTCAATGTTGGTGTGATCAAATTTCAGCACATCACCGACAACATCATAGAGTGTGTGAAGGCAAACATTGCTAAGAAGGAAGAGGAGAAACGCGATTACAGTCAAAATTTTATTCATGAAATACTCCATGAAGTACAGAAAGGTGTCAACTCTGTCCCCAGCAATGCAACCTGTTCTTTTAACAGAGAGTACAGCATAGATTTGTCTCTATATCTGTGCAGAATGGCAGCAGAAAGGTTTAAAGCCATGCACGAAGCATTCCGAAAGGCAAATGACCCAGTTGTGTACCTGAGCAGCAAGAGAGAAGATTTCTTCCAATGTTTCCAGATTTCCTGCCAAGGAGCCACTTCTGTCACAACTTTTGCTGGTTTCCTTTGTGACAAGATTGAACCAGCTCTTCGCCGGGCAGTCTATGAGAGGACAGCTAAAGCCATTGCTGAGGACATGCAGGAAAAACTCCCAGATTTCAGGGGCAGCAGAGCCAATCTGGAAGTTTACATCCTGAGATACCTGGCAGAACAGGAAAATTTTGAGTATTTCAAGGAGTACCTTATGTCTCCAAAAGAGTTTTGTCAGAGTTACATTGAGACACGAGTTAGGAGTCACTGTTTAGATGGGGCTAAGAGGCTGAGTACGTTTTTAGGTTCCTCCTTTGATCTTCTCTATCAAAAAACCTGGTCAGCTGTTTCATCATCAACTCAAGCTGTCAAAGACAGAAAAGACAGAGAAGACAAAATCTCTCTCTGGCTGGATGAATTTTGCAGGGAACTGTCTGAGGTGATCAACTTGCCCAGAAGTGACCTGAAGGGCATTGAGCACCAGGAGGTCACAGACATTGAGTTCCTCAGCAGTGCCATGGCAAAACCTCTGAATAACATGAAGGACAGGTTCATGGAAGAATTTTCAGATGCTGACCTGAGCTCATTTCCAAGGCAGCCTCACACCATCCTGGCAGAGCATTTTTCAGGGTGCTGGGCACAGTGTCCCTTTTGTGGGGCTGTCTGCACAAACACCATGCGGAATCACGATGGAGACCATCAGGTGGTCTTCCATCGCCCACGAGCTTTGATAGGAGCCACATGGTGGAGAAATTTATGGGTTTACAACTATGATACACAACAACTGGTCATTGACATTTGTTCCACCCTTGTTGCAAGTTATTCCAAATTCGAAATTGATGGTGGCCAATGGATTCCCTTCAAGAGATATCGGGATGCTGGACCTCCTTTTTCCACTTGGAACATTCTTCCTGATTCATCCATGCACTCATACTGGAAATGGTTTGTGTCTCATTTCAGGACACAGCTGGAAGTTTTGTATAATGGGAAATTTCAGGGCAAAGGAAAAATCCCTGAGGCATGGGAGAGAATTACGAAGCAGGAAGCACTGTCCGAGTTGGAGAAGCGTTAGGCCACATCCTTGGGGAGGAAGAACCACAACAGCTTTGTAGTTTAGGAGAACTTTGTACCAGGCTCTCCACAAAATGCAGTTAAAATGATGGTGCTCTCAAACCATGTTCAGATAATGGCATCTAACTTTTCCCAAATTTTGTGAAATACGGCATATTACTGCGGCCTTCGCTCAGCAATTTCTTCGCTTCATGAAAAAGCCAGAAACCTCCTGCCTTCTCTCCATAAATATGTTCCTTGGCTTTGTCCTAGAGCCGAACCAAACCCAGTACATGGGGCAATTGGTCTCCTGGCTAAGCCTGAGCCCAATGGCCAGGGAGGGGGAAAGACAGCACTCAAAGCACCCCTTGGATCAACTGCTGTGAGACAAGAAGGGACAGTGCCCCAAAGGCAGTTTACCTGCAGGAAGGAGCTGTCCTGCTCAGAAAAAGGCCTGCGGGACCTGACACCAGCTCCACGCTGGCTGCAAGCTGGGCTGCTTGGCTTTTGGGTGTCATCCTTCCCTCCCTCATTGCAGCCTCCTGCATCAACTGAGGCCGTTCTCCCAGCAGCAGCTGTTGTGTCTGCAGGCTCAGGAAAGCAGTGACACAACTGCCCCAGGCTCAGGCAGTGCTGTCACTCCCTGTCTCAGGGGTGCTGTGTCTCTGTCCAGGGCAGCCGCTCCTGCTCAGGTGCCTGGGGCTGCTGCCCTTCCCTCCAGCCCTCAGCCCCAGCAGGAGCTGCTCCTGCCCTTGGCCCCTCTGCTGAACAAAAGCCTTTGGAATGCCCCATGTGGAGAATCCTGTCTGCCAGCACCTTCTGCAGCAGCCCTCGGGGCAGTGCTGGTGCTGCCCAGGCAGGCTGGTGGCACCAGAGCCGTGCTCTGGAGAAGGTGGCACCAGCTGGCTCTGCCCCAGGGAGCTGTGGGGGCTGTTGCTGTGCAGGTGCTGCAGCCCCGCTGGCAATGGGAGGGCCAAGCCTTCCTGGAGAGCTGCTGAAGGGCTGCTTCAGCCTCATCCCCTGCAGGCTCTGTGTGAAAAATGCATATTAGACGCTTGGCTCTTTGCAAATATTAAAATGAATACTCTATGTGTTATGTTTGAAAGTTATGTTGTATTAATCTCTTTTAAGTAGTAGTTTTTAGGCTATAGCATAATATAAAATAGAAACCATGTGATGGAAGATACTTCTCTACCTAGCTCAAGGAATGGATAAGAGCATCAAGAAATTCTTGGCGTAGCGATAACAGCAACAAGACACCAAAAATCCCAAGAGAAGAATTATTGCCTCCTTATCAGGAAAAACCAGACTTTGAGGGACCAAGATGATTGATTTACAAGATGAGTGGGGGAGTTGGCAATAACCAGAAAAGACTCTTTGTTTGAAAATAAATTTTGCATCATGTATGAGATATATGAATATGCAATAGGCTATTGCTTTTAAGTATTAATCCTTTGTTAACAAGGTGTGCTTTTGCTTGGCAGAAAGAGTAAAAGGCACCCAGATGTCTGTAACTTTTTGGTTTTTATTGTTTTCTATTGTCCTACTCTGATTATCCAAATGCTTATTGCTCTAATCTGTTATTACTATTTTATAACTATTTTATTGCTATTAAACTTTTAAAATTTTAAAACAAGTGATTGGCATTTTTCACACTGTGCTAATAAAGGAGTTGATTTGGACTGCTCTGTGTCTCCTTTGGGTTCAGGGGAGCCACAGCTGGGGGTGACTCGAGCTCTGTGTGCTGCAGACAGGCAGGGGACAGGGGTGTGAAATTCACATATTATATGTATTGGCTTTTCACAGATGTTGAAATGAATTCTATATGTGTTATGTTGGAAAGTTATACTATATTAATCTCTTTTAAGCAGTGTAGTAAATACAGCTTTTACGTGGTAGCATAATAATAAAATAGAAACTATAGAAGATACTTTTTGTAACTAACTCAAAAATTAAAAAAGATAACAAAAAAATTATTCACATTATCCTATCTAGATAAAAATAACAACAACAGACACCACAATCCCAAGAAAATAATTATTACTTGCTTATCAAGAAAAATCAGACTTCCAAAAACCAAAAAAGTGAATTTACAAGATGGGGGAGGAAGTTAAATTAAACAAGAACACACTAATTTGAAAAGAATGCTTAAATCATATATAAGATAAATGAATATACCATAAACTATTACTTTTAGAGGGTAATCCTTTATTAGCAAAGTGTGCCTTTTAGCAAAATACCAAACATCCAGACATCATAATTCTTTAGTTTCTATTTTCTTTTATTTTTTTTATGGTTCTAATTTTTATTATCCTAATTTTTATTGTCCCAATTTTAATTACTATTTTAATTTCTAATAAACTTTCAAAATTTTAACAAAAGCAAATGTCGTTTTTCACATTAGGAAAGACAGGCACCCGATGCCCACACCACACACAGCCATCTCCCATCTTTTCCCCTTGCCTGAGCTCCCAATCACCATCTCCCAGCCATCACCTCCGGAGGTTTCTGAGCCCACTCCAAGCACCCCTGGAGCCGCAGGGGAGCCATTGTGGCCCCTCCACCCCGCTGGGAGCCAGCAGCGCCCCCTGGAGCCGCTGGGGCGTCACTGCAGCCTCTCTGCCTCGACTGAGCCAACAGCGCTCCCTGCTGGTGGTGGGTGTAACTGCACAAAAAAAGGAAATTACTTGATGGGTAAGAAAAGGCTGGTTTTGGTTGGTGGTTTTTTGTTCCTCTTGTTGCTGTTTATTATCAACGCCTTACAAAAGGGATGGGACTACTGTCAGGCAAAACACAATTTTATTACTCAGATAAACATCAGCCTCAAAATTCAACAGATTTTAATGGAGTAAACAGTCGGCCATTGGTCAAAGTAGTCACAAGTTTCTTCATTGCAAGGCAAAACATGACTTTCTCATCCAATGGAAAGATGTCACAAAGTTTATTTTGTTTTTCTAACCTATCACCTTTACTTAATTCTGCTGCACTGTGAGTACTTTTATCCAATGGGCAACTATTACACATACATAGTTATACTTGTATTTATAACAGCTAAACTCAGCTTACTCTATACAATTACATTACTACACTATAAAACCCTTCACCATCTTATCCAATACAGTTTCTTACTTACTAAAAGCATATTCTTACTTACAACTATAGAAACATGAGTTTATAATTTTTCTGCTTAATGTCTGTGTACTTTTATTTTTACATCAATCCAAGCTTCTTTCAAGACTGAAAATCAAATCCTTCAATGTCTGTTGGAGTTTCTAAGTTTACATTTCCCACACTGTTTTTGTATATCTATATCTACATCTATAGCTATGTCTATGTCTATGTCTATGTCTATGCCTGCGTCTATGTCTATATCTACGTCTATATCGAAGTCTATCTATATCTTTCCTAGTAAAGAACATGTATTCCTTTCCCCATATCTTTGCCTAGAAGCCCAATAATTTCAAAATTATAATAATTTGGAGTAAGGGGTTCATCTTTCCATTCCAGGAAAGTTCTCACCTTCCTTGGCACACATCTTTCTGCTAAACGAGGACGCTCTATCTTTCTAGCTTCAAGACAACACTGTCCTGTAACTCAGGCTGAAAATCTTTAAGGCTTTTTTTCCTCTGATAACCCCCTGACATCTTTAGGTACTACACCACCATCCTTCTGCTGTACTGGATGATGGTGCTGTGAGAAATAAATCAACATAAAATACTCCATCCCATTTTCCTTCCCATTGACAAAACAACATTAATTATAATGAAGTGTTATATATGAAAGCACCATTCTTTGGTTATTTGTCTTCATTGTCTAATGCATAAATTGGCTACCAATGGTTACACTATTCAACCAATTGTTTTCCTGCCAAGGAATCTCCACCCACCCCCTTTCCCCAGTGTTTCAATATACAGCCCAAGGGGAAGTTCTTTAGAATTCCCCCTTCAATAGATTGACCAGATCCCATGATACAAAACTACAACAATATAAAATTTACCACTGACACACCACAGACCTTGAAACAAGGCACATGTGTAACTCCCTACACAATAGCCAGCACCGTTTTCTGCACCTTGGGAGGGAAGACTATTGCAACCCACAATGTGCCTTCCCTTTACTCTTCCTTTTAATCCAGTCCTGTGAGGATTTTCCACCATGACTTAGGACAAGTGCACCCGTCATTCCATTTAGTAATGCTGTAAAATCCCAGGGGCCTTGTCCTGCACTCACCAGAGAATGGAGGATCTCCCCAAAAAAGCCTTCAGTGAGTGCTGGAGTCCTTTCAGTCCTGTGAAACCATGGAGTGTCAGAAGCACTGTCCCATCTGGGTTACCAAAGACTGTCACCAAAATAAGCCCTCAAAACCCCAGTGTGCATTAAGAAGCAGCACCACTTTATTGCAGCACTGGGTGCAGGGGGATAACCCCACTGTTGCAGTGTGATGTAACACCCGGTTTGAGCTATCCCAGTTCTTTCCCCAGGTGTGCCAATACCCTCTCCCTTCCCTTCCCCTTCCCTCCTGCTGAGAGCTGTCCATCAATCTCGGTATGACAGCAAGGGCGTCGTATGATTGGCAAAGTTCAAAAGATGCCTCTGAGCCCTGGGGCCATTGGGCTATCCAGGTGCCACTTGTCCCTTGAGACTCCGCCCCGCTCCTTACCTGGTTGATGTGTTCCCTACCCCTTCCCTCCCCCTCTCCCTGGGCTTAAAATACACAGCAACCACGCAGTTCTCTGTTCTGTTGGAGCTGTTGCTGCATTCAGAGGTCTGTGTGCTAGGAATAAAGCTCTGGATCAAAACCCTCCAGCAGGATCTGTCTCCTTTTCCTTCACCATTGCCCAAAGCCTTTCCATCAGAGGTAAATCTGAGTTCCTGCTTCCTGGACTTTTCCCAAGTGTCCAGCTGCAACATCCAGCTAGCCAAAGGAGTCTATGAGGTGAAACCACCACAGCTGCCCGCCCTTGGTCAAGCAGCAAGGATCAGAGAAGCCCAGGCACATTCCCTCCGGCAATATTGGGATTTAATTCCAATACCCCACTTCAAGTGTCTGCCTGGTTCAAGGGGTTACAGGTACTTATTAACCTGAAA